TAGTTATATTTTTACTATTATTATTTATATAGCTAGTTATTGATTTTAATAGCCTTTTCTATATACTTACTTAACTAAGTAGATTTTTCTTCCTTATAGAGTTTATCTTTAATATCCTCTTTAAGTCTATTATAAAAGTAAGTTATTAGAAACTTATCTTTTTAATTAAAGTAAATAGTAATCTACTTAAACTTAGTTATATATTTAGTAGTAGATCTCTTTTAGTTTAACTTTTTAAGTTATTAAATTATAATTTATTATTTATCTAGTTTTTTAAAAGCTTTTTTAAAAGCTTTTTTAAATATTTTATAGTTATTAAAGATTTTAATAATTTTAGCTTTTTATCTAATTTTATTATTTTCTAAATAGTTTTAGAGAATTAGTTTAAACTAAGTAAGTATATTATCTATAAGATATTAGGCTATAGTAGTAATCTTATTAGCTTTAGTATAGAACTGGTTTTTATAATATTATAAGAAAGTTCTTATCTAAGTTAAAAATTCTTATAGCTTTTATTAGTTTCCTCTATACTTTTTAGATATAGTAATCTTAAGTTTAAATACTATAAGTATAGTAAGTATAGAAGGAATATCTCCTCCTCTAGCTATAATATTAGTATTTAACTACTAGATTATCTAATCTAGCTAGATAATTTATTACTTAATCTAGGTATTAATATCTTATTATTAAATAGTAAAGTTCTTAGTATTTCTTATCTTAGTAATCTATCTTTTAATCTTAATATATACTTCTTTAATAATAGTAATATAGTTATAGTTATTATCTAAGTTTTTATTAACCTCTATAATAGGTATAGTTATTTTATATATCTTAATTTTATTATCTAACTTAGAGGAAGTCTTTTCTTTTATAAGTACTATAATTTCTAGATATTAGTACTACTTAATAGAGTTACTTATTAAATAGGAGTAGTTAATATATTATAATCTTAATACTAGCCTATTAATAGTATTAAGTAGATATAACTAGTAATAGGATTAAGGTAGTTATCTATTAGTAGTAGAGTAAGGTAGTTAAGTAGTATTTATAAAATATAGGTAAGAAGTGTATATTTAAGTGTAGGGGTGTTATTATATTTAAATTGACTACTAGGGAGTCTTAAAAGATAAACTAGATATATAGTAGAACTTGTAGTTTATATAGATATTTCCCTTCTAAGCTCCCCTAGGGTTAGTTATACTTTTAATTAACTGGTTAGTTGGTTGTAGGTGTAACTGTCCTATTAAACTTCTGTTTAACTGATTAGTTGGACTTGGTCTTATCTAACTCCTTTATTATATGATCCATTATTCTGCAGTGCCACACCACTTCCTCATGACTTGGTCGCGGCCATGTTGTGACACCAGTACCCTTGACTCTTTCTTCACATCACAGCCAGATATACCATTTTCCCTACCTTCTTCACCCAATTATACCAAATTCAGAGGCAGGTCTGCCATCAAAACAGCAGCCATACCACTCGCCATTGCAACTCCCCGCAATGCGGAGCACCTGTCCCTTCTCGTCAAACATCTCTCATTCAACCGGGTTCCGTTTGTTGTCCGCTCCGGTGGAAACAATTTATTTGGGAAGTCTATGGTCGACGGCGCTGTGATTATCGACATGCGCCACTTATCGTACTGTCGCATCCACGACGACAAGAACCTGGCAAGTATCGGAGGCGGGATTCTCATGGCCGACTTGATCACCGCCCTTGGCAGAGAAGGTCTTTCCACCGCAACTGGCATGGTCCCATGGATCGGCTTTACTGGATGGTCTACATATGGAGGTTACGGGCCATTCGCTAGGAAATTTGGCCTGGGGTTTGAACAGATTGTTGCTGCAAAGCTTGTCAATTGGGAAGGCAAGGTCATTGAGGCTGATGAGGACTTGCTCAAGGGAATCAAGGGCGCCGGCGGCTCATTCGGTGTGATTGTAGAGCTGACAATCAGGACGTACCCGCTGAAGCAAGTAAGTTTTGTTCTGCCAAGTTTCAAATTGATTAAGCTAGGTACTGACCTTGCTATATTTGCTCTCTGGACGTGTGGTGTTCGACGCTACAGACGTCAAGGCCACGATTGGCCGAGTGCTAAGTTGGACCCCCTACTTTCGGCCACCCCCCCCTTT